AATAAATTGGTGGAGGAAAACGCCACCACACGTAAAATTGCTGAAGAGGCTAAAGCGACTGCTGGAGAGACCCAGGAGAAATTAGAGCCGATTGCCAAGAAGGTTTATGAGCACGATGCAACCTTGGCCTTGTGGGACCTACAGAGAAAAGAGAGAAACTTGAAACTAAGACTGATTCCGGAGAACGAAAGAGATAACCTTGTGGAATATTTGACTCGTGAGTTTGTGGATTGTTGGGACCTGGAGGAAGACGAATTTAAAATCACGACAGCTTTCAGATTAGGTAAAAAGCAAGACAGAAAGACCCCAAGAGACTGTTTGATCACATTCAGATCCAAGGAGGAAAGAGATAAAATATTAGGACTGCACTTTGAAAAGGCCTTGCGAATTGGAAACTCAGCTGTACAGATCTTTAAAGACATCCCAAAATATATTTTGGATTTAAGAAATTTCTACAAGGATTTGGTTCTTCTGCTAAAGAAAAATTCCATCCGCTTCAGGTGGGAGTTCCCACAAGGACTGTCATTTGACTACAAGCAAAAGAAGGTGAAGATAAAGACAATTCAAGACAAGGATAAATTTCTGGCAAGAAACCAGGAGGACCTACAGAAGGGGACTGTGGATGCAATTGCAGAACAGAGGAGAGCATTGGAGATTTTGAACCTTTCGATCGGACAAAAACCACCGCCATCAGAAGAAGAGCAACAGCTCGGAGCTGTTGGAGGAGTGTAGAAAAATAACAAGATGGCTTTGCAATTCCTTAGTTGGAATTGTAATGGGCTTAATGGGCCTTTGAAGAGAAGACAAGTATTCCATATATTGAACAAAGAACAACTGGATTTGATATGTCTACAAGAAACTCACATAACCAGAGCCCACAGGAGACTACTCATTAATAAAAGGCTAGGACAAGAATTTATTTCATCAGATAAAGTCAAGAAAAGAGGAGTTGTAATATATGTGAAAGAGAAATGGGCCCCAAAAATGATATTCAAGGACGAACAAGGGAGATATCTGGCAGTGGAAATACAAGTTCAAGGAGAAAAATTTTTAGTGGTTGGAATTTACGCACCGAATGAAGGCAAATCTGACTTCTTTAAGAGACTTCACGAAACCCTGACTGACCATTTGGATTACAATATGATAATCATGGGAGATATGAATGGCGTGGTCTCCACTAACATGGACAAGGCACAAAGACTAATAGTAAGTAAGGAAGGGAGACTCCCTAAGACTTTTTTTGAAATGACAGAAAATATGGACTTGATAGATATATGGAGAACAAGGAACCCTCTGGAGAGAGAGGGAACTTTTTTCTCCCAAGCAATGATGACCTGGACAAGAATCGATCAAATTTGGATTACTAGTGGAATGGCTCCAAAGATTAAGAAAGTGGAAATCTGTCCAAAAACTTGCTCCGACCATAACGCCCTGAAGATGGAGATGAAAATCACAACAACTGGTCAATTTAGATGGAGAATGAATGACACCCTCTTTCGAGATAAGGAGATTCTCACGAAGGCCCAAAAGACTTTAAAAGACTACTTTGAAATAAATCTGAGGACCGACGTGGAGAAAAGAGTGATCTGGGACGCAAGTAAGGCGGTAATGAGAGGATTTTTGATACAACAAAATTCAATAAAGAGGAAAAAACAGAATGAGAAAAAAGAAAAGATTTTGGAAATGATAAAGGAAGGAGAGAGAAAATTAAGAACAAAACCAAAGTCTCAGGAAATCCTAAGAGAGATCAAGCTGTATCAAACACAATATATGGAATTGATGAACCAAGAGATTGAATGGAAGATAAAGCAAATGAAGCAAAAGACTTTTGAATCAGCAAATAAATGTGGCAAACTCTTGGCATGGCAACTGAAGAAAAGGCAGAAATTAAATACAGTTACAAGCCTAGAGGTGGATGGGAAAAATATATCTAAACCCAATGAAATTAGAAACTGCTTTTTAAGTTATTTCAAAAAACTTTACACTCAAGGCCCTCAAAATGAAGAAGATATAGATAAATTCCTTGAAAAATATGGATTACAAAGTATCTCTCATCAAAGTAAGATGGATTTGAGCCAGAGAATTTCAGAACAAGAGATAGAGGCTGCCATTCAGAATATGCAATTGGGCAAATCTCCAGGACCAGATGGACTGACTTCCGGATACTACAAATCGTTGAAGGAATGGTTGATTCAACCACTAAGAGAAGTTTGTAATGAGATCCTTGAGGGAAAAAAGGCACCTGAATCGTGGAAAGAAGCATATATTTCACTCATACCAAAATCAGAGACTGAAAAGACCCAACTTAAGAACTACCGCCCAATATCATTACTTAATGTGGATTACAAAATCTTTGCAGACATTTTAGCAAAAAGATTTAAAAGAGTGTTGATGGAGAAGATTCATAGGGACCAAGCAGGCTTTCTCCCTAAAAGACACCTGGCAGACAATGTAAGGAATGTAATAGACATTCTGGAAAAGTTAGAGGTGAATATAAACACTAAAGCAGTTCTGATCTTTGTGGATGCGGAGAAAGCCTTTGACAATATTTCTTGGAGCTTTATGAGGAAGAATCTTCATGGGATGGGGGTAGGCCAGGGTTTTGAGAATGGTATGGCTGCAATATATTCAGAACAAAAAGCTAAACTGATTGTAAATAATGTTGTGACTGAGGAACTTAAGATAGAAAAAGGAACACGACAGGGGTGCCCGATTTCCCCATTACTTTTTATATCAGTTCTGGAGGTGTTGCTGAATATGATAAGAAATGACCAGCAGATCAAAGGGGTGCAGGTCGGAGCTAAACATTATAAGTTGAGAGCGTTTGCAGATGACTTAGTATTGACTTTGCAAGAGCCAAACACTAGCACGAAAAAGGCTTTAGAAATAATACAACAGTTTGGCCAGGTAGCTGGATTTAAGTTGAATAAGCAAAAAACAAAAGTTTTAGGGAAAAATTTAACAGATATGGAAAAGGAGAAATTTCAAGAGGAGACAGGTTTGACAGTGGTTAAGAAGGTGAAATACCTAGGGGTATATTTAACATCTAAAAATTTGAACTTGTACAAGGACAACTATGAAAAATGCTGGTCAGAAATTAAAAGAGATCTAGAAATATGGTCAAATTTGAAATTGTCAATGTTAGGCCGAATTGCAGTGATTAAAATGAATGTATTGCCTAGAATGTTATTTTTGTTTCAGACCTTGCAGATTCTCGACAAGATGGAATGTTTTAAGAGGTGGCAGAAAGATATTTCGAGATTTGTCTGGCAGGGCAAAAAGCCCAGAATTAAATTCAAAATATTGACAGACGCTAAAGAAAGAGGGGGGTTTGCCCTGCCGGACTTAAAATTGTATTATGAGGCAGCAGCTTTTTGCTGGCTGAAGGAATGGATGCTCCTCGAGAACACAGACATCTTGGATCTGGAAGGTTTCAATAATGTTTTTGGTTGGCATGCATATTTATGGTATGACAAAACTAAGCAGCATAGTGCCTTTAAAAATCATATTGTTAGAAAAGCACTGTTTAATGTATGGATGAGATATAAAGATCTGTTGGAAAACAAAACCCCTAGATGGGTGTCACCAGTCGAGGCTAAAGCAGTAAAGAAACTCAATATGGAGGTCGGATGGCCGAAGTATTGGGAAATTTTGGAACAGGATGGAGACAAGTGGAAATTACAAAGCTATGACAAATTGAAGGATAAAGTACAAAACTGGCTTCAATACTACCAAGTAATGGAGCTTTTCAAACAGGACAGGAAAATTGGCTTTCAAGTGGATAAATCAAAACTAGAAATTGAACTGTTAGAACCCAACACTAAGAATTTGTCAAGAATGTATAATTTGTTGCTGAAATGGAATACACAGGATGAAACGGTGAAATCAGCCATGATTAAATGGGCACAAGATATTGGTCATGACATTATGTTTGCCGACTGGGAACAGTTATGGACCACCGGTGTTAAGTTTACGGCATGTAATGCCTTAAGAGAAAACATAATGAAAATGATTTACAGGTGGTACATGACCCCAGTCAAGCTGGCAAAAATTTATCATTTGCCCGATAACAAATGTTGGAAGTGTAAAGAGACTGAAGGTACCTTCTACCACCTTTGGTGGACATGCCCGAAGATTAAGGCCTTCTGGGAAATGATCTATAATGAAATCAAAAAGGTACTCAAATGTACCTTCGCGAAAAAACCAGAGGCCTTTCTCTTGGGCATTGTCGGCCAATTGGTGACAAAGAGGGATAGAACTTTCTTTATGTATGCTACAACAGCAGCAAGAATACTCATCGCAAAGTATTGGAAGACCCAAGATCTACCCACTTTGGAAGAATGGCAGATGAAAGTGATGGACTATATGACATTGGCCGAGATGACAGGCAGAATCCGTGACCAACGAAAAGAGACGGTGGAAGAAGAATGGAGAAAATTTAAAAGTTATCTTAAGGACTACTATAAACTTAATGAATGCTAAAATGTTGCGGTTTTCAGAAATAAAGGGATACAGGGATATAAGGTTAGAAATTTAAAAAAAGAACTAAGAAGATAGAGATTGGAAAATAACAATTGGGAGTTGCTAGTGGAACTTTGGACACTGGGATGCAGAGAGGGGGGGTATGGGGAAGTCAAAGGAAAGAAGTTTATGAAAATGTGTTTGAAACTGTACGTGTGTGTTTGTCATTTTTGGTGTTTGTTTGTTTTTTTGTTTAAAAAGTTTCTAAAACCAATAAAAATTTTATAAAAAAAAAAAAAAAAAGATTGGAAAACTTAGAGAAACCAAGATTGATAAATTCATCCATCCCTAATCATTGGTTGCAAACAATAAATGTGGGTGGGGTGGGTCTGTGGCTCTGAGAATCTGTCCCAGTCTTTGTTTGGTTACAGAAAACCAACATAGCAACACTATGATTCAGACTGATGTTCTTGCATGTAAATAAGACTTCCGTGGTAGAAGTAGCACAGCCTTTTACTTCCTGTTGCATTAACCTGGCTGTAGCAAGTTCTATCTACTGTCTTCCTTTCTCCGTTTTAATCACACATGAAAGCAACAAGGTGCAACACTGCTGCCAGAGCGCTGAGTTTCCCAGAGGGCTTACTTTTGCTAATACTGGGACGTTCCAATGAGGTAAGGCTTTGGAATCATGCTGTAGGAAAGTTCTCACCACACCACCCGCTGTGAGTTTCAGGAGAACTGCTTCTGCCCAGCAAAAGATTGCTAAAAGGACATTTTTTGAAGCCAGACTCCAGAAGATAAGATCCAAACCAATGATTTCAAATTACAGGGTGGGAAAATCTTTCGATTTTGGTTTCTCTAAGTTTCTCATTTTTCTGATCTGAAGTTCAATTGTCCACACTGAAGTATGTGGGTTTTTTTAAAAAAAACAGTCCTCATGAAAATTCATTTTATTGAAAATTTCTAAAATTCACATTTTCCTTGCATGCAATTTTACCCAATGTGCACATTTTGGCAGAGCAAGTTCCCCTGATGTAATGCATTTTTGGTATGTTATTTTCACTAATGTATGCACTTCTGTGCACACTTTACCCTGGCATATAAATTTTATATTTGCAGCTTGTCTGGAGAATGGCATTACAAAATTTGAATTTTGAAGGGTGGATATGTTTTGGTTCTCAGATTGTTTCAGAAAGTGCAAAATAAGTAGATTCATCTTTAAATGTAACAGAATAAATTTTCTATCTATTCTCTAGTTTTCACTAAACATCTCTCATTGGCAGGGTTAAAATTTATTCAGAAAGTGATTAACGTTCGCAGAAGGTTTTTCAGCAGAGACTAGATATGTACCTGTCAGGGATGCTGTAGCTGTGGGTTTCCTTTACCCTGGGGCAGGGGTATATTATCTTATATTTGAGGTGACCTCCAACTCTATTGTTCTATCGCCCTTTGGGCAACTAGTCTGTATGCCTGCAAAACAGTAGAAAGCATGAAATGACTAATATAAATTATTTTTCTGAAAACACTTAAAGCTGTTGATTAGGGATGGAAAGATCTCCCAATTTTGGTTCTATGCATATATAATGTTTCCAATCTGAAATTCAGTTCTCCACATTTTGCATTTTATTTTATTTTTTAAAAAACCTCATGAAACTTCACCAGCATTTTAGTGCAAATGTCTTTTATTAAAAACATTTTCATATGCAGTTTTGACTAACGTCCACATTTTTGCAAGCAATTTCCCCATATGCAATGCATTTTTGTATGCAAGTCTTACTGATATTGACTTGTTTATGCACATTTCCCCATAAAATATGCATTTTTGTAAGCATTGCTTGCTTGGCGAATTGCATCACAAAATGTGAGTAATTGCATATTTCGATGGATAGCTGTGCTTCAGTTTACGTATTGTTTTGGAAAATGCAAAGCTGATAGATTTGGCTTCAAATATGTACTGAACTGAATTTCTCCTCCATTCCTAGTGTTAATTGATTAGTTGTTTAATCATCTGCCTTTTAAACCACCGATTAGCTGGATAAGCTTGAATTGAATGCAACTTTAACATAGGTGACAGACTGAGAAATGACCATGCTGGTGACAGTGTAAGGTTCTCTTAGGTCTTAACAAATCAAAGATGTCACTCTATGTTTGGAAAACCCTCCTACGACAATGTAACAGAGCAAAAGAGAATCCAGAGTTGTCCCTCCATCCAGTTTAAACTTCAGATCACGGATTGGGAACCTGTGGCCCTCCAGATGTTGTTGGACTCCTTCAGACCCAGCCTGCAGGGCCAATGGTCAGAGAGGGTTAGGTGATGTGGCAACACCTAGAGCAGGCACCCCCAAACTTGGCCCTCCAGATGTTTTGGGACTACAACTCCCATCATCCCTAGCTAACAGGACCAGTGGTCAGGGATGGTGGGAATTGTAGTCCCAAAAACATCTGGAGGGCCAAGTTTGGGGAGCACAGGCTACCCATTTCTGCTTTAGATGATGAATCTGCAAGATCTGCATTGTTTTGCCCCAGAAAACCTCTTTTTTTAACAATAGGAAATAATTGTTGATGCCTATCTGGTCCATTACCATGTGTGCTACTTGGCTGGCTGAACGTAGATCCCTTGGACTCCCAAACTGCGACTGTCCGATTTTATTTTATTTTATTTTATCCCACCACCCTCAGTTGAAAATTTAAACAGTTATTCTTGTTTCTGGTGGTTACACTCATACACTTTTGCTGGCCTGCCTTAAAGAATACGTATGGGGAAGGGTTGTGGCTCGATGGTAAAGCATCTGTCCTGCATGCAGAAGGCACTAGGTTCAATCCCTAGCAACTACAAGTAGGGCTGGGAAAGGACAGAGTCTGAAACTCCAGGGAGCAATCTCTCTCTCTCTCTCTCTCTCTCTCTCTCTCTCTCTCTCTGTGTGTGTGTGTGTGTGTTGATTTGAATCAGGAAAATAGGATGGAAGAGTCAATTTTCATCACCTAGGGTAGTTTCACATTCCTAATCCAAATTGCCTCTCTCCACTCTCCCACACGGCTCTCTTTAGTCCTAAAAAGAATGTTAGATCCAGCCATAGATCTCCCACATCCTTTTCATGGATTTCCCACAGCTGATTGAGTATGGTTGGCTTACAACAGGGGGCTTTCCTTGCACTGGAGATATGCCAATTTACAATGCTAAGAATCTTTCAGAAACAGAGTAGAATAGCATCGTTCATGCTGTGATATTCATGGCTAGGTTGAAGGTTTTTGTGGGTGGGAAATATTAGCAAATGATTCTGTTTTGTCTTCACTTTTATCAGCTATCTCACATTTCACGGCTGGTATTGATCAAATAACGGTCAAGTCTACCATCTACGGGTAACTGCTGAGAGGGCTTTAAGGTTAGATTTTTAGGTTGGCAATGCACTCTTATGCATGTTTACTCAGATTTGGGTCCCACAATTTTCAGTGAGGCTTATTCCCAGATATGTGCATAGGAATCCTATTGCCCACAGAAGAACATCCTGCTGACTTCAGTGGGACTTACTCCTAGGTAAGGGTGTATAGGATTGCTGGCTAAATGTTGTTTTTGGCATCCATCTATCTCAAGAGACAATGGAGTGTGCCTCTGGGGCTGTACTCAAACCATTACATTAGCAGCACGAAAGTGACCTCTTTGGGGTGCAAGCCCTGGTAGTGTGTATGGAGGTTTTGGACTGACCAGACAACAACAAAAAACCCTCTCAGCCTTGATTTTGTGGTCCACAGAAAAGCAGAGCAATACATTTGGCACCAGCTTGGCTGCAGGAGTTGGTGGAAGAAGACAAGCAAGTCCCCATCCCACTGCCTTGGGGACTCCACTCCAGATTTGTGTAGGGTTTACTTCTTAGCCTTTACTTCTCCTAAAGATATCCTGCCAGGCAGCAGAGATTTAGGACCAGAGTTTTCTTCTCCTGGATAGGCTACCTTCCTAGGCTGATGAGCCCCATTTCCCCCTCACTTCCTGCCACCACATGCTCAGAAACCGCCTTCTTGACCATTGGACCCACTATTGGTCTTGTCTGCTCAGTCTGCCAGAGTCTGTCTTCACGTGCAGGGAAGTCCCCAATTTACCAAGAGTTTGAGATGTACCAGCTACCCTCACCAGGTTTAGCCAGCCAGCCAGTAGAAGCCATTCCCAGGGTGTGGCTGCTGTTGCATGCTGACAGCTTCTAGGAGCCACAGGTGAGAGCAGAGTGCAGGGTGGGGACCAAAGGTGGACAAACTATCCCAGGAGGAACATGATGTGTTGCCCACTAGAGATGTTACACCTCCTTTAACACCCTATACATAGCTAAATGTACTTCTTGTGCAAAGAAGGAAATCAAGCAGAAAGGGGTAGCATGGCCATGCTTTTGCCCTTGCCCCATGGTGCATGGCACCACATCTGTGCCCTTGCTATTTGCATTGTAGCATATTTGATCAGGCTTCCAGGATTTGGGGAAGCTTTAATGCTAGAGACAGGAACTTTTTTCAGCCCTAAGGTCACATTCCTTGTGGGGAACTTTCTGGGGGCAACATGCCAGTAGTGGGCCCCTGCAGGGGCAACAGTAAGTGGGGCCAGAAACAAAAGTGGGTGGGATAACAAGGGTGGCCCTTTGTAGCGACACACAGAGCCATCTCTCCATCCTCCACCCAGAGGCATTTTCCTAGTTCAAGGAAACATTTCAGCTGCTAAGAAAAACTTTGAAAAGGATGTGGGGTAGGGCTGGCATGAGATGTAACCTGGGAAGGGTGTGGGGGGAAGCATGTGGGTCTAGAAAGAGCCTCGAGAGCTGGACAAAGAGGCCTGGAGGGCTGCGTTTGGCCCCAGGTCTGAGGTTCACTTTTTCAAAAGGTAAATGTGCTTAGGCTTATCCTGCATCAGACAGAAATGCTAATGTGAAGGTGGCAGGGACCAGACTGGAGTGGAGCCGCACTCAATTTCCTCCCCTGCATAAGCCTTGTGACAAAAAAGTTGAAGTGTAACAAAAAGCTGAAGTTCACAGAAGAGATAGAGAGAAAGCAGAAAAAGGCACAGGCACAGAAACAAGTGTGAAATTATCTTAAAAGGCCACACAAACTCAGTGGTGCTATCAGAGCAGGATTTGATGGTGCGGGTCAGATGTCCAGAACCCTGCTCAACTGAACGAGCAAGAGGGTCCCCAAATGCCACAGGGCTGGCTTACCTCATTTTGACGTAAGTGAAGCAATACACACAACCATCTCAAGAGAAGTGCTGCCTGGAAAAGTCCATCCTCTAAAATGACTTGGCTGCATCACTGAATGGGTGCAATGTTCTTAATGGAGTGGGCATGTTGCAGTACTACTTGTCAGTTTTATTTTATTTTATGGAACTTCTTAGAAAGGATGGTGAAGAAATTTGATTTTGTTTACATTTAAAGGCAAGCTTACCTAACTCACACATTCCGAAACAATATGTGAACTGAAATACAGGGGTCCTTCAAAATTCAGTCTTCTCCAAATATTGCAATGCAGTTCTCCAAATGCATAGCATGTCCAAAAATATGTGCATGGGGGTGGGGAGAGAGTGTGCATAAAAATTAGTGAAAAGGGCGTACAGAAATGCATTGTATTAGGATAAATTGTTTGTTTGTTTGTTTATCAACCACTCTTTATCCTAAGATCCCAGTGTGGGTTGCAGCATTAAA